TGACCCACAGAGGTCCCTTCCAACCCCTACCATTCTGTGATTCTGTGATTCTGTGATTCTTATCATCCCTTATGAATCACTGAAAAAGGCTCTTGACCAGATGCCCTTAAAGGAGCAGACACTCTCCTTCCACATGCTTTTACCACTTGTATAGGCATTAAGGAAAGTACCATATGCAAGCCCAGCCTAGTTAGGATGCCATAGAAATTGTGCTGTGATTGACATTAAAAACTGTTTTCCCAAAGCCAAAACAGAGGTATATGAAATCTTACCATTTCCCCTAAATTAAGAGTAGGCAAACATTGTCGTCTTAGCAGAGTCCACTTCACTATTCAACAATTCTCTTTAATTAAAAACTGTTAGTATTATGCTGAGTATTTTCTTACCATTCTCTTGCATTCTTTCATCTGCCTGTATCTGTCTGCTGCCTTTTGTCTTTTCCCTGAATTGTAGGCTCTCTGGAGTACAGCTCGTCTCGTGCTCTTGGACAATGAAACCAGCTCTGTGCCTGGAACTCAGAGGCGCTACAATAGACAAAGAGTACAACTTTTAAAGGGCTTAAATAGCAGCCTAAAAATATCAGGATAGCGCTTTTACTATTTGAAGTCACCAAGCCAGCACTTTAAATATGTGACCTTTATATGTCTTTTTTGAGCAGGATCGCCTGTGAACAGGCCATCTGAATTAATGGTGACTCGGGAGGTGCCATGCATAGCGAGGTGTCTTGAAGCAGCGCATTCATTAGATTAATTCAGTACATCCTGTAAAGAAGTAATTGACACTAGTAACATGTAAGTTGTCACAAGACACTTAAATTCATTATACTTTAGCATTTATTAAGTTCTAGTGTTATTGCTAATAATATTGATTGTCTGGAGTCCCAGCTGACAACAGTTCTCATCAAACATAGATGAGCATAGAGTGTATGAAAAATTCTGTAATGGCTACAAAAGGGCCCTTTGCAGCAAAGGAGAAAAAAAATTCTGTGGAGACAGGTATATCAAAGACTACTGAACATTTATAATAAGGATATGTGCTCAGCATGTTAGTTTGTATGTGACACCTCATAACTGGGTGGGAAAATCACCTTTTTTTATTTAGCAAATGGCTGCCTTCAGTTACGAAGTGCTGCAGAGCCTGGTAAAAGAATGTTTGGAGTGCTAAACTGTGCCAGAAGAGAGCCCTTGTGTGTATTTTTATTGATCTGTATTAAAGTGTATGCATTGGAACAGGCTGCCCAGGGAGGTGGTGGAGTCCCCATCCCTGGAGGTGTTCAAAAAACGTGCAGATGTGGCACTGCAGGACATGGTTTAGCAGGCACGGTGGTGTTGGGTTGGTGGTTGGACTTGATGATCTTAGGGGGCTCTTCCAACCGTAATGATTCTATGATTTTATGATTCTATGATTCTAATTACGAAGCTCAAGCTTGGTGACATTACAAAACAAGGAGAGGACTCGTTTATGATCGTATCTGCTAGGCATGGTAGTGCTTTATGTGTTTTGCTTGCAGAAGCAGCATAAAGTTCTATTTTGGTAGCAGAATAAGACACGATCATGAAAGCCAATAGAGTGAAATTCAGATATAAGGTGGAAGTCAAATGATTAATATTTTTTTGAAACATAGTTCAAATCCATCCCTCAAGAGTTTCTACTGACTCCACTTTTTTTTTCATTGCTTATTTTCTTCTTTTTTTTTCCCAGTTTGAGTTTCATCATGTCGCAGTTCTGCTCTGTTCAGGTTTAGCCATTGATTAACCTATTTCTCAGCAGATTTCACAAATGGGTTTTGTGTGAGGAGGAAGTCAGTGGCAGTCAGTGCAGATTTTGATGGGGCAAGGGTAGAATAGGATGAATTTTAGTAGGCTGTGTGCCTTGCCTCCTCATCACATTTATTTCTTAAGACCTCTTCTTTGTCATCTCCGCTGGCCATGTGACTGGCAGTGCATTTCTCCTTTCCCCTCCTCTCCCATCCTGAGTGTTTGCTGTTCTTCAGTAACTGACCAGCTCTTCATTTTGTGGTTCCCACTTTGGAGTCCCTTCATTTTTTCAAAAACCTGAAAAACTGCCTGCCCCAAAGGGATAGCAATGGAGAAGATATGAAACTAAAAAAATGACTGCATATTATATTTTTTAATGCATCAAAATGCACAAATAAATTTTAGGTAGGTAAAGTCAAGGTGTAGAGGTGTATATACAAGTATAGATGACCTGGGTTTGTCTGAGATCAAGCAGTGCATTTAATTTGATTCCAACGACTTATAACATTTTTCTTCTTTAACCTTAGACTTTGAGGGGAAAATAATATTGTACTGTCTGTAATTCCTTTATTTTTAAATTTTGTTCTGGCTGTTTCTGTATGTCCCTAACAAAATCACTTGCTTCCGTCCTCTCTATTTAATTTTTAAAAATCTAATTTCAGGAAAAAGTCTGAAGTTTCTGGAGTCATGGCTAAAGCTGACATCCAACCAAAATCTATACATCATGCCCAAAAATGGTCAGATGAGATAGAAAACTTATACAGATTTCAGCAAGCTGGATACAGAGATGAGGTTGAATATAAACAAGTAAAACAAGTTGATATGGTAAGATTTAGAACTCTGCAAGGGTTATAACTTTAAACATCTGTCTCATGTTAAAAGATGAAATAAAAATAGAGGTGCTGCTTACTTCCTGTCATTAGGCTGTTGTTTTTCTCCCAGGTCTGACTTGGATTCTTGGGCTATTATTAACTGTGCAGAATAGCTTACTTCACAGAAGTGAAACAGAAACTCTACCCAGCCTGTGTGTTTGCTCCTTCTCTCTAATGCATTTGGAAGCATTCTAGATTTCTTTCAACAGGTGTAGCTGCTATCTAAAGGAATAATTCGGTTTTGAGGAAAGGAATTTATCAAAGTTTGTTCTCCATGAAGTTTCCTCGTTACTCTGCCGATAGACCTGACGGGGAACTCGTTCATCGGCCAGGGAGCCAGTCTGGTGCCCTTGCTACCGGCTTCGGTTTTACGGCTGAATTGCGTGGTAGCATAATCAGACTTCGTGTGCACTCAAAACTTGGCTCTGTTGAAACTGTCCGCAGCAGAAAAACTTAATGCCAACTGTGGTAAAGGCAGTTGTGACACAGGCTTTTACCAACGGAGAACATCAAGGACTTGGCCCTCTGCTCACAACAGTTGGTGGCCGTGCTCCCTAGTGCATCAAACAAGCTAATGAATGATGGCCAGATATCCAGTGGCTGCTTGAGATTCAAAATAGCAGCCAAGAGGTTAATACAACAAACGACGTATTATCTTTATCAGAGGTCGGTAATTTATCTTCCAATGCAGCAAATACAGTTTGAAAAATCCGTTTTTGAAATATCTTAACTTTCTGTGCACATGAGAAAGAGAAGAATGTTCCTAAGAAAGTCACTCCTCGTGCAGTTAACTCTTAACACAGCAAAAAGTTGATGTGCATCATAAGATGCAGTTTATTCCTTTGTCATGGGCTTGGATACCACTGTACAGGCTGTGGTGTAAATTCCTTTAACTGTGCGAAAGGAAATCCTGTAATTAGTGTGGTAGGATCAGTCTGTTTAAGATTTATGGCAGGGCATAACCACAGACAATTAAACCCCAATAAAAGTTAAAGAACACCACTCCGTGCAGAATGAGCGTGAATTCTGTTCAAACTTGCCAGGATCTGGCAGTGATTCTCCTTCAAGTTACATATCTTGAAATGTCTTGTTTACTCCATATTATGTTTCCATAACGCAGTTGTTATTAATGCTGCAATTATAATGTAGGTGGAATGGATATTAAGGCTGTTCTGTTTAGACAGAGAATGCAAATAACTCAGCTGTATGCCCAAAGTAGTAGGGTAAGTGATGCAGCTACCGCTTCTGGGAGTCTCCAATCAGAGAACGCTCTAGTTTGACATCCGATTGTCAGCCCTGCCTAGAAAAGAAGTAAGATTCTTACTACCCAATTTTTAAGGTTCAGTTTGATCAGAAGTAGTCACAGGCGTTCAAGCTGCAGATAGCTAATAAGCCATAAAGCTGCT